ATAGGTCAAGTATTGTAAACATTTTTGAGTTAATAAAATTAACTTTGATAATAAAATGTCCAAAAAGTTTCTATTTAAATTCTTCTATGTTTAATATCATTAAACCATGATCGTACGTAAAAAGAACGCCCAAATCCGACTTCGTATATTGAAGTTATGATTTTCCAAGTTCAGCTTAACAACAGACAGCTAAAAACTCGAAACGGAATCGAGCGACATTTGGCCGGAATGACCTAAACGAGAATCGAAGGTCTCGACAATGGTATTTCAACGGTAAAAAGTCTGGCAAAAAACCGACGTCAGATAAAGAATTATGAATTTTTAAAGAAATTCCTTAATCACGTCATTTTAATAAATAAATAATAAAAATAATTTCGGAATTTGCCAACGGAATCTAAACGAAAGTTGTAGATCGTAGTCTCACCTTCGCGGGATATAAAGAACGTCGAAAACGGAGTTCGTATGAAGGAGATATGAATTTTTGAAGTTTGATAAATAATTTATATATAATTTTTATTAAAAATTCGGTATTATCCGAAGAGGAGTCAGCCTAGGGCCGAGGTACGCGCCGCGTACCCTCGTACGCCCCGCGTACTCGAGGGCACGGCCTCGATCGTCCACGTCGCCCTATGCGAAGCTACCCGACCCGCCGTCCCATCCGACCCGCCATCCGAAATACGTAAGCGATGACGTACGGGTACGCGCTGCGTACGCCCGTACGCCCCGCGTTCGGAGGCGGTTCAGCACCCTATAAAAGGGATGTGAGCCTTTCCGAAAAATTTGTTCATTTTCTCTCTTTCTCTCACGATCTTGCCTCGATTTCCGTGCCCGTTCAAACCCGAAGCTCTGGTCTTTTTGCTCAAGTCCCGAGGGTCGATTTTACTCCCGAGATTCCCGAGAATCCCGAGAAAAATCCGTTTCCCGAGACGAAACTCTGCCCGGTTTTCGATCTCGCTATCTTCAAACTTCCAAGTGAGTTCATACCCCTTTATTCAACCTTTGAAATGCTTTTAAATGTTTAAATACTTTATGGGGGGGATACACGTTAAACACTTATAGTTATTGCTTCGATCACATGTGATTGCATTAATCACATGTGATTAATAACTAGGAAACCAATGATTTTATCACTGTTCAAACTGTTTTACTTCAAAATGTTTTACAAACTCTTTTACTTATCAAATGCTTTATTGTAAACTTTGTTTTACTACCTATAAATTTGCATGCCCATATATGTATAGCTGTATAAATAATGTTTAAAGGGCTTAGGAAAGCCACCTGTCCTATTTCCTTTTCCTCGATTTGGATGTGGTCTGGTGGAATTTCGGGTGACCATCCGAGGGTCGTTTCAATATTAGTTATATATCATATATACATGTATGACATAAAAGTACTTCCATATTCATACTTATCAGCACTCGTTAGTAAGTTACCATCGGGGTAACACGGGATCATACTACTACAATTTCTAGATCAACGAGTCAGTTCATTCAGGAGTCAATACTTATTACTAAGAGAACATATACAACGATACTAGAACAAGTAACATTATATTGCATATACACGAATACGTTAACAATTGTGATCCACTGTATGGGAGCATGTCTTAATTGACATGACCCGAGTTGTAGCCAGAGTCTCTTGGAGGGAGAGCGTGAGTTTGCGTATAGATCTATACTGGATTGACTATCCTACACCTCGCTGCTAGCTACAGTGGGACCGACAGGTCTGCGGGTGCCAAACGTCATACCTTATTTTTCGACTATACGTTGTCGATGTTACCAGTCGATAGTATGGTGCAATTTATCACACGATACCTTAATATAAACCCGGTTTAAGGTAGTTAGTACAGCAGTAGTTCATATAAAACAAAACTACCGTACTACAATAATTTACCCATTACATTTTGGTGATAACCTCACTTAAACTTTAATGTACAAACTATATTTTGTTAAATGATAGTTACACTTGGGAAATTACACACTTTTACATCAAACGAGCATACAAAACAGTTAAGCCTTGGTAGAGGGCTACTTTAACAGAAAATATAGGTTTTTCTGAGAGATTCAAATTTTTACAAACACTTACATACATTTACAACTCATACTTGCGACAGGTTCAAACGTTTTGATAAAACCTCAACACTAAAATACTTATGAATTCACCAGCTTAATGCTGATAAACTCTTTCAAAATAACTTGTATTCTCAGGTCATCAGTAGACAGGTACCGATGCTAGCTTTTGAGAAGATGAAGCGCATTCAAGACTCATCATACTATTTTGATTTACATTATATTTTTGGTGTCTAAAACTGTACGGAACACGCTTGTATTAAAATTTTATATTTAATGCAATGGATGATGTTGTTTGCTCATTTACATTTACTGTGTTGTGATACTTTACATGACATCCTCCGCCCCAGAACGTTTCTGCCATTCTTGGTTTTGGGGTGTGACAAAATGGTACCTTGATATAGGAAGCAATAACCCAACAAACATTTTCTCACACTACAACAAGGAAATCCATCAAAACTCAAGCCAAATACAATGCTCTTCTTAGCGAACACACGAACATTCCTCAAGATGAGAAGTATAAGTTAATGAGTAACATCAAGGCAATGAGAATAATTAGGTTCTCTCTTCCTCCAGACATGTTTTGTCTGGTAAGTTCATGTGATACTGCGAAGGAGATATGGGACAGGTTGAAAGAGCTTTACTCAAGCAATGCAGATCTAGAACACTCAGTTCAAAGTCTTTATCTTCAGGAGCAATCTTCAAGTCAGAGAAGAACCAGATGAACTATCTGAAGACACATTGAAGGATTTGAATAATGATGTGTAATCAAATAGCCAATCAGGACCCAATCAAGTATCCGTTTCACTTTCCTCCAACTAGCGCACGTCAAAAGATTCAACAATTTGGCTTCGTCTTCTTATTGTAAACCCTATACGCCGTGCATGAACCATACCCCATGAAGTAACAATCATCGGCTTTGGCATTAAATTTTGGGTTGGACTCCAGGTAAAGAAGGGTGCAAGGATAGCCAAATACACGGAAGTGGCTGACTGAAGGCTTATGACCAAAAAGAATTTCATATGGAGTCTTCATCTGGGCTTTGTTGATCAAAACACGATTCTGAATGTAGAAAGTAGTGTTAATCACCTCAGCCCAAAAGAAAACAGGTAACTTAGAGTCACAAAGCATTGTCCTTGCAGCGTCTTTTAATGTTCGATTTCACCGCTCAGCAACACCATTTTATTGAGGTGTGGGAACAGAGATGTATTGACGCACAATTCCCGTTTTTGCACAAAAATGATCAAGAACTGCATTCTTGAATTCTGTTACATTATCAGTGCGAAGCGCCTTCACCCAGTTGTTAGTTTGGTTCTCAATCAACACAATGAACTTCTTTATCAGATCAACAACCCCATCTTTGTCGGATAAGAAGAAAACCCACGTAAAACGAGAGAAATCATTGATCACAACAAGACAATACGAGTTTATGTTGATGCTTAGGACATTGACCGGACCAAATAAGTCCATGTGCAATAACTGGAGCACCTAGCTTATTAAATTAACTTGTTTTGGCAGGTGTGGTTTTGTATGATGCTTTCCTTAGGCACATGACACACACTTCTCAAATGTTATAAAGTCTCTGATGGGTAAGCCACGTACCATCTCATTTTTCGCAAGACGATTTAGATTCCTAGCATTAGCA